TGGACAGCCAAGGCATGGGGAAGGCAAGGTGCAGGTGTGATGCCTGAGTTTTGTTACTTCCCAGGGTTACTTGAGTATCTTGAGAACATTTAGACACAGACTCTCAGACCCTTCAGGACACAAAGAGATTTTTCTTGGCCATGATTAGTAGGTGAAAGCAGCCAAGAACATCTTTAGCTTGAGAAAAACAGACTAAAAGAGAAGAAGAAAATAAGACCCCAAACCAAAGGCATTCAGAAGTTGGATGGGAGATCTTCCAGATTGTTCTTCTGGCAAAGCCAGCTGAGGCCAGGAGAGCACAGGAACACATGGCATTGATCCTTGGAAACCCCACCCTTGGCCCTGCTCCTCTGGCAGCAGGCAGGAGGATGGTTCTACTGCAGGGGCTCCCTGGCTCTCCCCAGGGGTGGGCTCCCCATCCTCTGACCTCTCTGCATGGAGAACCTCAACACACACACAGGTCCCATTCCCTGTGACACCCCGTGCTCTCCTCCCAGCATCCGCAGCCCCGATGTCCCACACCAGCCCTGGGTTCTCCACACCAGCCAGGCCTGGGGGGCAGCTCCAGCATGGCTGGGCCCCCCTGCTCTCCCCACAGGGTACAAGGGCATGGACAGACCACGTCCAGTGTGTGGTGTGTGGATGAGGACATGTGGTGGACAAGGTTTGTGGCAAGTTGTGCTCCTTGTCCTGCCCTGCTCAGAGCTGCAGCTCCTCAGCCCAGTCCAGCCCAACCGCTGTCCCAAAACCAGTGGGGAATCACCACCCCCATGGATTTATTCTGCCCCATCAGCTCCTGAGCAATGTCAGTGCACGATAAGCAGCAGATCAGCACAGGTTTGCATTCACCTGTTGCAGCTGTAGCTCTCTATGATCTGGTTGGCAGTAGCAGGAGCCTTGTTGGTGGCACAGGGAAATCCAGAGGACAGGTCAGGATTGGGGCTGTCCTGCCTGGGCTCACAGGGGCAAGGAGGAGAAACAACACCAGGGCCAACAGCTGGCTGAGCAGGGAGAGCCTGGACCCCAGCTGCCAGAGCTTCCCTGGGACAGTGGGGTGTCACAGCCATGGGAACACACAATGGATGCCCACAAAATGGATGCCCTTTCCTGCCTGACCTTAATGTTTGCAAGAAAATCCTGTCATGGCAAACAAAATAAGAACCAGAGTCACTCAGCTACAAGCCTTTAATGCACAGTCTTTAAAGGTTCAGAACATTAACTCCGACTGGGAGATGTCGGCAACCTGCGGCAGCTTCAGGTAGACCGAGTTCCAGAAGGTCACAAAGCGGGACCTCAGGTCCTGCTTCACAGAGTTCTTGGTTATCTTGTGGTTGATATCCAGGTAGTACTTGCCATTGTTGGTGTAGGCTGGCCAGGAAACGGGCACGTCTGAATGCCCTTTGTTGGGATCGCTGGGGAAAAAGGAGACACAGAAGCTCAGTTTTATCAGGGCAGCTTGGGAATGCAGTTTAATGCATGACCATGCAGAGTGTTCGACACTGGGAGAAGCAATAGGAATTCTGCCTGGCAGAAATGAGTGGATGACCTGCAGTCTCCTCCCTCCATCCCCACTGGCATCATCCCAGCTTCACACAGGGACTTATGTCCTGCCTGAACACAAGGATTCAGGAGTAAAACTCATCAAGTGGAAGCAGAGATCATAAGTCATGAAAATGCCTCTGCCTTCCCCAAGTGTGCCATGGATGAGGAGAAGCCAGAGCAATCTCCAGCCCTGTGAGACACAGAGCCCTGCTCACAACACAAAGACAGAGAACTTCTGGGAATGATCCTGAAAATTTACTGGGCAAAGGCAGCAGCCTGAAATGCTGTATCAAATCACAGATCACTCACCCAGTTCTAGCAAAATTGGTCCAGTAAGCGATCATGGCCTTTGAGAGAGTCCTGTACTTAGGCCAGTAGCCCAGGGGCGTGGCAAAGGGCTTCCCAAACACGTACTGCAGGTCATCAGCATGGTCTGCCCCAACCCAGCGGGGGTAGATGGGCATGCGGGACGGCTCCGAGAACAAGTAGCTGTAGGTCTTGCCACTCCTGGGAAATCAAAGAGACTGGCTTTGAGCAGGGAGAAAGCAGAAAAAGGGCTGCAAATCCCAACCAACACTCCAAATAGCGTCAGGGCCACGGGTTCAGAATTGGAAGATGCTCACATGCATCATCTCACATGGGGTGGTTTCAAGAGAAAACATCCTAAGGCCAATTTTAACTTCCATTTCCAATTCTCAACCTAACCCTCCTACATATGCAACAACCCAGGGCTGAGCTGCTCACTTGGCATTCTGCAGGTGCAGGTCCAGTGCCACCTGTGTTGGAATCAGGAAGATGTAGTCAGTGATCAGATCCACCACTGTCTTCTTCACGAGCTCCTGCTCAGGTTTGTCACCCCAGCTCTGTGTGTAGATGTTGTAGGTGGCGTTGGCTCCAGCCTCGCCCCTGTCCACGGTGAGGCCTTTGACCAAATTGTACACCTGGTCACTGAAAAGACAAATGATATTCATTAATTACTGACCAGCAGCTTCAGGTAGGACCAGGTCTTGCCTGGTCCTTTCTCTTGAAGGCTCTGGACTCGGCAACACAAGGCCTGGGCACCCAGGCTTGGAGTGACATCCTGCGTGGAAGGTTGTGCCCTGTCCACTCAGGTCTGACTCCGTGGGGTTTGGGAGCTACACTGAAGAGCAGATGTCTCCTCTGAGGGTTCTGAGGGCATCTCACTCACGCAGTGACCTTCACCAGCGGGCGGTTGATGGCGGGTAAATCCACGCCGGCGAACATGTGCCCATCCATGTTATTGACCCCGGCCAGGTAGTCGATGTCGGCAGCGTTGGCAAAGAGCTTCTCTGGCACGTCTGGGAGGAAATCCCCATCCACAACTGGAGAGAGGGCGACAGTGTGCACCATGGGCACTGCGAGATACAAGTGTGGGTCGAAGAAAAGGCTGAGATGGGCAGTGTTCATCAGGTGCAGTGTGCATCTGCCCACAGAAAGGTGACTGCAAGAGCTCTCATTAAAGCCTCTTTTCTGGAGGATACAAGCAACACCTCAACACTCCTGGCAGTTGACCCAATGTCCTGCAGGAGATTTGGAGAGCCCAGGAGGGCTGATGGACTGGAACACAGGCCAGGGCACTTACTGGACAGGTGGGTGAGCTGCTGGTGGTAGGCCAAGGTCAAGGCTTTGGGGTCAGAGATACGGAGGCAGTTGGCCAAGACGGTGGTGTTGTCTGTTGGGCAGCCCACCTTTTCTCCAAGCTGTGGCGGAAGAGAGAGTTGAAAGATCCTAGCATTACTTCCAAAGCCAGGAGTTGTTTTTATGCAGTCAAATATGTGAGTTAGTTTTAATCTCATTTTAATCTCAAAGCAGCAACTTTCCACAGTGCTGTTAGGCACAGCTCCTGCCCAATCTCTTCCTAGCCCTGCTCTCCTCTATGGAATTGGTTTCTTTCATTTAATAGTCCTTCAGACATGACTTTGCACGTTACCTTTTTGGCCCAGACGAGCGGGTCCCTCTGGATGGCCCAGCTGCAGAGCCCAACACCGCTCTGGCTGATGGCTCTCTTGAACAGGCCCTTGTTCTTTGGGGACAGTGTCTGGGGGGCAAAGCACAAACAAGAGGGGTTTGGGTACAAACTCTTGAGGAGACCATGGCCTTCATAACTCTGGCTTCCCACATTGCCACCCATTCCCATCCCACCCTCCCCATCCCTGCCCTCGGTGCCTCGTGGACAGCCCACAGTGCCACTGGAGCTGTGTCTGTGCAGGTGTCCTGCAGGTGCCCTTGGGAGCAGAGAGGCAGCAGCAATTCCCCCACAGTCCCAAAGACAAACGGCAGGAGGAGAAAACCTTCATGTTTAGGGTGCAAAGCCAGCCTTTGTACTTACGGTGGCAGCCCAGGCTACCCCGAGGTAGGAGCACAGGGCCAAGGCCAGGATGTGCCAGCGAGCCATGGTGAGGGCAGCTCTGAGGGGACAGTCCCAGCTGGAGGGCTGTGTTTATAAAGCCACAAGTCAGGTGTGTGCCAATATCATGGGCCAGGCTTGGCTCAGAGCTGAAGGAGGGCAGCCTCCACAACCTTGTCCTTCAGTAGCCAGTCCCTGGCTGATAGGCATGGTCCTGTGAGAGCCCTGCAGGTGCTGCTTGTTTGGGCTGGAGAGCAATCTCCTCAGGTATCTTTTCTATTTTCCACATGGCCACCATCCTGATCAGAGTGTACTTCCCACACTCAGAGAGATTTGGGAATGCAACATGTCTGTTATTTTTCCTCTCTGATGTATTACCAGCTCTTTTGGATGCTTGCCTCTCTCTTGGGAGCTTTTTCAGCTTCCTCGAGGACTCATTAGCCAGTTATTATGAAAATGAAGACACCCATTTATCCACAGCATTGGTGAACACTTTCTTCCAGGTCTGGACAGCAGCATCCAGTGGTTTAGTTGTGTTTTCTTCACCACAAAGATGGCATTGTGTGGGTGACAGGTCCTGCTGAAGCCAATCAGGTTCTCACTCCAAAACAGGGAATTGTTATATCCCTCTCTAAGAAACAGGGAAGGGACCAGGTTTGCAATTTGCCTGTGGCTCACACAGACATGGGGCTGCCACTGGAACATGTGAAAATGAAGTTTGTGCTCCAGATTCCAGAAGAGAAGGGACTCAGCTGAGTGACCAGTGGGTTAATTTAGCTTTGTCCCAACCACTGCATCAAGAGCCAATGCAAGAGGAAAATTCCATTAAGATTTTTTTTTCCTTTAAAAAGTACAGATGAAGGACAACAGTGAGAAAATGAAAGATGTTTCTTGTAGGAGATCTTCCAGATTTTTCTTCTGGCATAGCAAATCAGGGCCAGGTGTGCACAGGAACACTTGGCATCTATTCGTGACAGACAGCCAGGTTTGCTGCATCCCAGGATGTGTGGGGTGTGCTGGGAGGGGCAGAGCTTTTCACCACATCCCCAGGTCCCCTCACCTCAAACGGATTTTGCTGGAGTGGCTCTTGCCAGGCAGTTTCTCCCTGTGCCTCCTCTGTTGTGCCAGACCTGAAGGGATAAAGCAGAGCAAGGCAGCAGCTTCAGCAGCTGGAGGTCTCCAGCCCATGTCCCCGCTGTTCCTGAGCTCTCCCTTTCCCAGGGTGATCCAGCATGTGGGACATCTCTGGCACAGCTGAGCCCTGTGCCCCCCACCACTGTGGGGTCTTTGAGTCATGTCTGTGTGTCTGTGTTACAGCTGCTGCTCTTCTTCTGCTCATCCCAGCAAGGTGGGAACTGCTGGGTTCCTTGTGTGAGAGCTCTGGCATGGGCTAGAAACAGAACCAGCCCCAAATACCCAGGAGCCAGCCTCCGCCCACAAAACCATAAGCCTGGCTTAGAAGTTGTGACTAATGAGAAAAGAACTGTTTCCAGCCTGTAGGGTGCAGCAGTAGCACATTTTAATGGAAACAAAGAACACCAGCTTGGAAGGGATCCCAAGGATCACCTGACCCAACCTCCCTTGGCAAAAGCCCGGTCTAGTTAAGACAGCCCAGCACCCTGTCCAGCTGATCTGAGACGTGTCCAGTGTTGGGGAATCCACCACCTCCCTGGGGAGGTTATTCCAATAACTGATTGCTCTCACTGTAATAAATTGTCCTCTAGTATCCAATTGTATCTCCCCAGGAGTCACTTGTACAATTACCCCTCATTTTTTCCACGTGACTCCTCCTAAGGGGAGTCTCCATCTTCTCTGTGGCCACACTTTAAACATTTGAACTTGGTGATAAGTTCTCCCCTTTCCAGGTGGGCTGACACTGGAGTTCTAGAGCCCACCTGAGTATTGTCAGACCTGAGGGGGGACTCTCAGAGCTGTGAAAGCAAGTGGCAGCACAGCACAGGGAAATGCTTTAGAAGAATCCACCCCTGGCACTCTTTACAGGATTTACACAGCAGGAATATCCTGGGTGAGCTCGAGGGGAAAGCCTCTGGGTTGTGCCATGGTTTTTCTGTATTTCCCAGGGAACAGCAGCAGTGTAAGTATGTACCCCAAACCCCTCTGGAACAGTTTATCCATCCCATATGTGTCCACAGTTCCTGAGCTCCCCTTCCTTCTGTGCTTACTTGTTGTGTTGAATTAATTCCAGGGGCAGGCTGCGTCTCTCTCACAGATCCTGGAGGACTCACGGGGCTGAGAGATTCCCCAAATGTGGCACGAGCTCTCCATAAATTCCAAACACTTATTTTCCCTAAGATTTCATGGCATTCTTGGAAGTCTGGCCTTTGAGTAGAGTGGAATACCTTTATAGAGGAAATACTACATCTCTTAGATGGGGTCTGGCTGGAGTTTCTTTTTTACTTTTTATTCTCTAGAGCTGTTACACTGATCCTGTGTTTCACCTCAAGCAGGAAACAAAACATTTATGGAAAAGGTCTGTGATATAAAAATATGATGCAGTGGCCAAAGCTGTCAGAAGTTAAAACATTACTTCCAACTGCCCTCTGCTAATGACTTGCATCCTTTTTTCCAGGAACAGTGACATTCAAAGTGCCTGGCAAAGGGTTTCAGGATTATTGGAAGTTTTGGTTACAGAGAGCAGAAACGCCTTCTGAAAATAGCTTTCTTAGGGGAACTCTGTTCCAGTGTAAACCAGAATGGACTGTTCAGTTCTCATCTATACCAGTAAAAATCCCTATCAGCCCTGTGCAATGCCCAGATAGTAGAGGGTAGAATATGCTTCATTTCCTTCCACATTGTGTTCTCTTACTCTTAGCAATGTTCCACAGCATTAAGAATCCAACTACAACACTTTTTTTTCACTTTATTATTTCTTCCCTTCAAAAAAACCCTTGTCTTTATTGGGCATTTTCATCCTTGGCTCGTGTAACTTCACCAACTTTTATCTCCCTCCTTCGAGCCGCAGCTTTTCCCCGCTCATCTTTGTAATCTGACATTGTGATTTGTTCACTTGTGTGCTTGTTTTTCTCCTCAAAGAAGATTTGCTGAATCATTGGGGAGGAGGCAAGAGCTGTAGAGGCAGCTGGTGGCCAGTGATAAACCAGGGCCACATCCAGCTTTCAGGGTTTGCAGGTGACAGCCCTTCAGTTGAAGGCCTGAGTCACATTCCCTTCCCAGCTAAGATTGCTGGGCACTTGGGATTGAGGAAAAGAGGATGAGGAGCTGGTACCCCAGAGCAGAAATTATTGTTCCTCCTGACTACAAAGTTTGTGTTGGATTTTCTGCAACTTTAATAATGATGCTGTGAGAAAACTTGCAGGCTGGGGGCTAAATCCTGCTGCCTGGTGGATGTTGTGCCCTTTTGAAATCCTTAGGCACTATGAGCTGTTCAAATGTAAAATATTATCAATCCTGCTGAGTTCTCCACCACCACAGCTGTGGCACTGTGCAGCAGGCACAGGGACATGGCTCTCTGACTTTCCAGCTGTTTCCCTGTGTTCCAGGTAACATGAGAAACCTCAGCTGGCTCATGCACACTCAGTCTGAAACCCAAGGTCTTCTGCCCTGTCAGCTCTGCCTTTAAGACACTAGAAAATGAGTTTTGTGCAGCTCTCATAAGTATCAATCTGAAATAAAATCTTACCAATAGTACATTATACTTTTCCTAAGAAAAGAGTTTTAACTTGGGATGTTCCACTTAGTTTTAATATTTCAAGGAGGTAAGATAAAGTTGGTTAACAAACAAGACTGCAAGTCCAGCTCACCTGAGTTCCATTTCTTGTTGTCCTACTCAGTTTGGGCAAATATTTTAAGGTGAAAAATGCAGGTTGGGAGATCCCAATGTAGAGTCCTTGCTTTGATGCTTTATGGGGTTTTGTGGGGTTTTTCATGATGCCACTCCAGTGTATTGCTGTGCAATTGCAGGAATTCTACCTTGCTCTTATCTGCAGATCTTGAGGCTGCTACAGGCTGGATCTAAATAAGGAGCTGAGGCAGGGATGTCTGACTGACACACTGCTCCACCATGTCCACACTCTCAGGATGGGGCCCTTTCAGGAACAGGAATGCTCTGTCATCTCCAACTTCCCCTTCCTCAACTGAGACAAGAGATAACTTCTACTCTATAGAGAGAAAAAAACAGTGAACTTGACCACTGCTAAAAATCCCACCAAAGCTCCTAATATAGATGAGCCTGGGATGTAAGATAAAGTCCCATGGCTTTAAAATTATTCAAGAGGAAGGCAGAATCAATGGAGATGGGTTTTTAAACCCCTTGTTCTTCATGAGGATGTCTTGAACATCAGAACTGTGTTGGCTGGTGCTGAATGTGGCTGCTGGAGCTTGCTGAGGAGCCCTTGATGCACAGAGGAATTAAATGGCTTGGAGGTTGTTCATGACCTGGAGAACTGCAGATTATGGGCTGGAGCAGAATCAGCTGTGAGAAATTCAGCCTGAGAGTGGTGCAGAAACCACAGGGCTGTGACTCAGCTGGTGTAACTTCAGATGCCTACAGATACTGGGCTCCCTCTCTTCAGGGAGAGAAGTAGGTGCACACAAGGCAGGACTTCAGCCCTGGTTTAGATAAGTGCTTTAAGAGAGAAAAATCATTTCCTAGGTATGTTTCTTATCAAGAAAGGGAGACTTTGAGTCACCAGGTCACTGCAGAGATCTCCTGACCTACTGCTGAAGGTTTCCTGCCTCATATCCCACGGAGAGAAGGGGACAGCAGTGCAGCCAAGCCTGGCAGCCAAGGATGAGCACATCCTGCCAGCACAGGGGCAGGGCTTGCATCTCAGTAAAATCCCCTGATACAGGCAGGACCCAAGACAGCAGCCTGAACCAAAGGTGGTGGGATGCAGGATGAGGGCTGTCCATATGGTCTGGATGAGCAGTGACCTGATAACAGCATGGTGTGCAGGCTAAAGAAACATGGTAAAGCTGCAGGTGTGACACTGGTTCATCCTGCACCACCCAGCTTCATCAGGGAAACCAAGCAGAGGATGTGCCCTGCAGGGATCTCTCATTCTGTC